AAGGAGATCCGGGCATCCATCAGAAGCAAACCAGTTTCCAGAATCATAGAGTGCTCCCTCTACGTTATAGTTTGTAAGAACACTTTCCTTTGATGCTTCTTGTGAGTTATCTAATTTAACTTCAACCTAGATAATATGCACATAACATTGGTAACACACAAGGCGCCTCAAAGATAACAAAATTTCAACATAAATACTATCTTTTTCAAATAATATCAAGACAACTTTGAGACAATCAGAAGAGATAGAAGGAAGTAAAGATAAAATATATCTTGTAAAATCATAACGGTCAATACATGTGCAGCCAGAGATAAAAATATCAAAATGAATTTTATAACATCAGAAAAGCATAGATTACAAATATTTCAACAATTAGATTATGGCAACATCTGCTAAACAGGGTAGTAACATATATAAATATGCACGTGTTATTATCTAACGTTAACATCACCATAATAGATGCTTACCAGTATCTCTGCATAAGAAAAATCTTCAGCAAGGTTTGATTTGAAAAAATAGTCTGCAATAAATACCTACACATCAAATATGTTGACACATATCAGCATTGTAATAACAACAAGTCTTATTCCATTACATGGGATCAGCGACATGGATTGCACAATGCCACTGTACTTTATAAGTACATTAACTAGGACAAAATAGGCAGATGCTGGACAGATCAAACTTTCTGCTTGCTCAAAACCTCAAACCAACGTTTAAATAAGAAGATACATATAAATACTTCTCAACCTTTAGGAGCAAGTCAAGATATGCAAACTGTAAATGAGGTGCATATAAGAAAGTTGGCAATGAATGATTCTTTTCTAACTCAGTATAATTTACAATGTCATCAATACTCGGGAGAAAAAATAAGTTCCACATGGATATCTGTTGGACCCGAGCCCAAATATACTTATATGAAAAGAAGACCTGGGCCCAAGATGTGAGGAATGGGTGACTGCTGTTAACAGGGGTATTGAGGTAAATTGTAATAGTGACGGTTAGGCATTAAGGGGGTATATGACAGAGTTGGTTAGAGGGGGAGAGGTGTGGAAAATACTGGTGAGTTGTGAGGAGAGTGGAGTGCTTCTGTTTTCCATTCCGAGGATTGATTCCTTGAATTGAATCCTACGACCTTGGAGTTAAATCCAACAATATCACATTTAAAAGTTTCAGCTCTTTTTTGTCCATTTGTGCATGAAGATTGAAATGACAAAAAAACCAAACAAAAAAAGAAAACTTTTCACTTTATTACTCCTTCCATATGATATGACTTGGATAGATTTCTCTTGGGGCGGAACATGAACTCTGTGAATCATGATTTTTCCCTGCTTATTACGCATTTTCGGAATTTCAATGAGCAAAATGCCCATATATTGAGACACAATAAGGGCACGTGAGAAGTTACAGAGAAAATTAAACCTTAGGCTTTGCTAGAAGAAGCACATCACGGTGGATGCCAGATAACCACCAATGGTCCTGATCTTCAAGATAAGAGCCATCGCTCCATCTAAATACTTGAACAGCTAGAACATTCTTAAGATCTGAACCGCAAGGATGACAAAAATCAGTAATTTCAAATTCTGCAGGTAGCCTGCTGTCCTGACTGTCCTTGCAAAACATTTAAGTATTTTGTCAATGGATGGATCCAAAAGTTGGTTAATGTCAAAGGCTTCATCCATAGAATCTCTTTGCGTCATATAATAATCCAAATAACATTAGCCATAAAAGTAATGCCCCTTTTATTTTTAGAATATGAACACCCATGTCCTACTGTTATGCATGGATATATTCCGAAGAAGTTAGTCAACCACAAGTCATTGTTCAAGTGAAGCTCTATTTCTGATGTACAAAGAAAATGGACAGCTCTTGTACGTGAATCAGCTCCATAGAAACTTTTTGCTTTTGTACCTTAGTATTTTCTGATTTATTGCATCTTTAAAGAGAAAAAATTTTTTTCATCCCAATATAATATGCAAAGGATGCTAACCTTCACATGAAAGTGAGAATGCATAAAATCATCAAATAAGTTTCACCGAATACCTATATCCCACAGGGGACCCATTTATCCAAGCACAGAAAGCAGAATCAACACCTTCAAAATGCAATAAAATTCTTCTACCTGTCAAAAGTCAATAAAAAATGCATTTGAGTATTTTAAGGTTAAGTGCAATAGTCCATAAAAGGAAAAGAACAGATAATGTCTTAGGTAAATAAGGATAACAGAATGAGAGAACTTTTGCAACACACCAAGTCAAACTATCTTTTCACACCATGCAAAAAGTCAACACAACCAATCGCATAAAAGAAAAGAACAGAGGAAATTTCAAATTATTCACGCAATCAGAGATTACAAGTAACATGCACCATAACTAAAATTTAAAAAATAAAAAAGACAGGAAGAAAGAAGGACTGATAAAACCAAATTCCTCAAAAGTTTATATCGATCAACCAAAAATATAGACCCAATGTGATAACATTCCAAGAAAATTGAATAGAACATACCCTCCCACTCTTGAGGAATGTGGAACTCAATCCTGTAGCAACCTGTAGGATTCTCTGTAGGAACAAAAGGAGGATCCATTGGAAATGGATAATCTATATTTGTATATATAGGGCGGTCAAACCCATGCAGCTGCCAATTTGAAGGAACTGTCCAATTTAGAGGAAAGAACCCAAAAATAGATGAAAGATTAGCCCTTGGATCATATAAAACATATTAGATGATGACGACAATGATGATAAAGATGATAAATGTAAAAAAAGTAATTGCTGTCTCATCTATCAAATACAGTGAATTCACAAAGCAAATTTAAAATCCCGCAAGGCCAATAGAACCAAAATTAGGGGCTAATAAAGCAAAATTATAATGCCTTAGAGGGGTCTACACGACCATTATTGTTTGCTACATCCGTCAAGAGACATTTTTCTTGTCCTTATTTACTGTAGTTCTTTTGTCAACTTAGAACTAAAGAAAGGTAATGTGCTTCTTAGCATGATAAGAAAATAGTTTCCATAATGATATGATGCCCTTTATAATAAAATGAAAGGCTTGCTTGATTTTGTGGAAGTTCATAAATGCAATAGAAAATAGAAATGAGGAAGAAACTGCACAAAAGAACGTGACTATAAAGCATATGGGTACTGACATGAAAACTAACCAGGCAAAGTGGTCCACTCTGAGTCCTGGAAATCACTTTCATAAAATTTTATCGGGACACTAGTAGGACTCGAGGCCAAGTAAAACTTCCAATATCCAGACATTGACTTAACAAAGGGCAAGCCCTTGACCCAAAATGCAGCACAATCAAGAGCTCCAAGAACAGCATCATCATTCCAAGTAGCAGACTTGGAAACCAGGAAGTCCACTTTGCTGCGATCATACCAGTACCTAAGTGATCCTAATCATATCACAGAATGTCAGAAAACCTTAAAAGGGGAAAAAAAAAATTAAATGAGATATACCATAAACAAATTGAAAAGTAAGTGTCCCTTACATGAAACAAAAACAATATTACAAAAGCTTTAAGAGTTAAAATTATCAATCCAATTTCACATAGTTGCTTCAATTTTATGTCTCACGACATAAATTAAACCAATTTGTTCTTAACAACTCGTTTTGAGGGAGTGGATGCAGGGGGAATATGAGAGTACACAAAGCCATGCTATCTTGGATTCAAAGGATGAAAAGAACCATAGTTAACAGAACACTTAACTCCACGCCAGTTCACAGCAAGGAAATCAAAAACTGCATCTTTACTCCGAGATTGGAAAACAATGCCACACAACCAACTCTCGACAAGCGAAATCAGCATGGGAGGTTATTTATGTCAATTTGGTTATTTCAACAGTGAAATTATTGTATTGTTACCAATAGTTTATCATTAATTCATTCCCCCACGAGTTCCTAAAAACAATTAAATTAAAATTCAAGATGAAACATGTGAAAAAAATTTCCCTTTTCTAACCCCAATTTTTCATCCTTTTGTCTGATCAACTGATGAACAATCCAGTGATAACTGAGGTTCCAAAAGGCACAGTCATTAATTTCCATGTGATTCAGAGGATCGCCAAATTTCAAACCTCAAGACTTTTTAACGACGGTAAAGCAATTAATGTAAAACCCAAGATATGTTAGTTCATCATCGAGCCTCACCTTCAATTGAATCATGGCAATGCAAAGTCACGTGGGGGTCTCTTTTTCTCCACTTGATGAAAGATGGATCCTCCCACACTCTGTAACCATGAACATCGGGAGGAAATACGATTTGCCCAATTAAATTAGATGCCATCAGCAAAAGCTCTCTCTGCTAGTACACGAAGAGAAGAGAGTAAGAGAAGGAGTGAGTGAGGAAGAGGATGAAGAGGCTCGTAGTCAGTCAATGCACTACGTTAGTGGATCTGCTGTTTTATTGGATTGGATTGCGACGAAATCAGATGAGCCATTTGTTGCCGTTTTATGCACAGTTTCGAATGGCCCAGGTATCCGACATGTCGTTTTAGTTCATGCTGAAATATAACAGCAGGAATTTCCACTGTAAAGAATACCCCAATTATGGTGGGGTTTTTTTCCTGCATTTTAAAGAATAGCATTTGAAGCTGAGGAACGTGCTTATATTTTTCAAATATAAAATTATATGGTTTTTTTAAAATTTTTTTAGTTAAAATATAGTTATCATGGTTTTAAAACCCAAAGTGAATTAATCCATGGCAGGTGTAGTAAAAAATTTTGGGGGGAGGTCAATTAGGATAGATTTTAAAATTCTTTCTTACTAAATTTGAAATGATGTTATTTTGAGTTTTAAAAAATATAGCATTCCATCATATTTACGCTTTAATAATTTTATTTTGTTGAATTATGTATAATTCATTTAAATAGTACTCTTTTAAAATCATATAAAAATATTTTTATATATTTATTTGAATTATGTTATTTTAATCGAGATTGATTATACTTAAGAATTATATATTTATTACTGTATTTTTCACACAGTTGAGTTTTCTAGTTTAATTTCATAATTTAAGATAGTAATTGAGTAATTGAATCATTTAAGTTTTATCCATCGTGAATCATTCTGGATAGAATTTAAATGATTCTATTTATAAAGTAAAAATACAATGTTTGGCATTTTCATTAAAATAATATAAACAGTGAAAATATTTATCCAAATGGTATGTCATAAGAATTATTTAGTGAAATACTATATTTTGACAAACTTGTTCCTACTGTGCTGAGTTTTCACTTTGATATTTAGTGTATATTTAATCTTTTAATTTTATACAAAATTTTAATTTGATCTTTTAATTTTAAAAAGCATATATTTGGTACTTTAATCCTAAAATTATTAGGTATAAGTGATAACTTTTTGTAACAATTATGGTTATTTTTAAAATTAAAATTAGTATGTTAGTATTTGAAAATATTTTATCAATATTTAAGATCTTAATGTCATTATTTTTTTTACTAACAATTTTAGAATTAAAAAAACTAAAAAGTATACTTTTTTTAAAGTTAGAAGGCGAAATTAAAACTAATGTATACTATAATCTTTTTTAAATAAAAATAAAAAGGAATTCGTTCAGACAGTAACGCTATGTTTGGCTCGACGGAAGGAAGGGGAGGGGAGGGATTTTAATCAAGAGAAGGAGAGGGGAGGAAAGGGGAGGGTAACTACAAAGGGGAGGGGAGGGAGGGGAAAGGGAGGGGAGGGATTTTAATGATCTCCTGTTTGGATTGATTGGAGGGAAGGGGAGGGAGCAATTTTAATAATACCTTATTTTGTTCTAATAAAAAATTGACTATTTTAGCCTCATAAAATTTAAATGAATTTTCTCACTTTTTATTTTGTTAAGATATAACTATATATATATATATAATACAATTCACTAATTTTGATTTACAAGATACAGTCACACACTTATAGAATATCAAGACAAAAACTCACAAGTGATAGATTTCAATCAAAGAAAAGACCTTGAAGGTGAAAGAAAATACCAACGGCCTCTTAGAATTAGAAGAAGAGAAAAAAAGTTTACAAATACTCACTAATTTTGGAGATAATTATCTTAATAACCTCTTATTAGATGTTCAAAAGAACTCTCTTATGTAGAAATGTTTATGACTGATTAGAGGTTAACAAATCGAAAGGGCATATAAGGAATTAAAATATCATCTTTCGCCTCCCCTCCAAAAAACCCCACTTTTGGAGGGGAGGCTAGAAGGGAAGGGGAGGGGAGAAGAACCCCTCCCCTCTTTAAAAAACATCTTAACTAAACGAGGGGAGGGGAGGAGCTCCCCTCCCCTTCTAAAAAATTATACCAGCCAAACAAGGGGAGGGGAGCAACTCCCCTCCTCTCCCCTCCGAAAACCCCGTACCAAACATAGCGTAAGTCAACGAGTTCACCTCTTTCATTTTCATTTTCGAAGCAAATTATAAATAAATGCCCCATCTTATTTTAATTTTTGGATAAAATTATAATTAATATCCCATTCCTATAACCACCTCTTCCTTTATTCTATATCTCCTTCTAAATAGAAAAAATGCATACAAATCTTGTAAAAAAAATTGCTTTTCCTCTTAATACTTATATTTAAAAAATAGATAAATAAATTAAATTCTCATAAAATATTGATAAATCTTCCCTAGTATATCCAAATCTGCACTTATTTAATTATGAAACATATGCTTATTAATTTTTATTCTTATCATAATTACTCAATAATATTTAAAGCAGGGTATTGTACGAGAAACAAACTTAATAGCTTCATATATTTTATGAAATAGCTTAGTGTTTAGCCTTGAAAGAAGTCTTGATGTCATGTGATAGCAGGTTTGAAGGATAGAAGATTTGTATTGAAGTTGACTGTAAGGAACTACATGGGTGAGACCCAAATTTGCAGCATCACCACTCTTGCAGAAGATTCTTTTGTCTGATTCAATTGGAAGGAGAACTAAAGAAGTTGCTGGCTATGTTGCAGAACCTCCTATTGTAAATTTGTGGAACAGAGATTGTTGTTATTGTTTTTCTTGAAACTGGTTTCTGTTTTTGCTTTATTGTTGCTTCTTTTGGTAAGTTTTTTGTGTGTTAGGTTGCATTTTTAGGATTTTTCGTAGATTTTTTTTTTTTTGCCTTTGGCTATTAATGTGTGTAACTTTTTTGTTTGGTGATTAATAAAATAGACTTGTTTTTGACAAAAAAAATATTAAAAACTTTAAGTGCGCAAAATCAATTAAAAGAATTTTGATTATTAGTTTCTTAAGTGATATTTCTTAATTTTAATTCTTAGTCATTATTTTAGCTACATAAAAATAAAAGTTACTTCGCTTATTTTTCATTTACCTATTTTACTTGCATTCTCCATATTCTTAGGGACAATATTTTTTCAAAGATTATTAGTATTATTGTTTTTATATTTGTTACAATATATCCAAGATGATGAATAAACTATCTATAAATCTTATATTTAATGTCTCTAATAGTAATTAATAATTAAAATAAAATGATGACTAGCTAATTTTATAAAAGCCACTTAAGGTGTGTTTGGATTAGCGGTGACAGAAATGGCTTTTTTCTCATCTGACTTCTGCAAATTGAAGTTGAAATAAAAGTAAGATAATATAATATGATTTATATTTGGATTGATTTTTGTAAAAAAACTAAAAAAGTCAGTCTCACAAACTAAAACTTACTTGGATGATTAATGAAAAAGTAAATTTAGATATAAAATTACTAACATGAATTCTATTAAGTAATACATATTTAATATTATATATATATATATAATGTGACAATTGTTAAAAAAAGTATTGAAAATAAAATTATTAAGAATAAAAAATTAATTTATTACTGGAAAGAAATTGAAAAATACTAAAATATTTAATTAAATATATTTTATGTGTTGATATATAATCAAATATATAATAGTCGAAGAATCAACAATTTGTATTATATACCTTCTATATTAGCAAAGCCAATAAGGAAAAAAAGGTGTGCTGAACCCAACATTCATTGTATCATTACTTTTTTATCGTGAAAAACAAGATATAGGAGCTTTTTTCCAAAAACTCATTTGAACATAGAAGTCAGATTGTCAAAACGTTAAACCAAACATTACTCTTAACCTAAAATCAGCTTTTGCTAGTTGGAATGCACGTATGGGCTCAAACGTGATTCCAAACACACTCTTATTTTGAAACCTAACTATTTTGAGTGTATTGTAATAAAATCACACACGTGTCTATAAGCTAAGGAAGAAGAAATGATATAATGTGAATGAATATTATTATTGCCATTATATTTATAAAATGACAATTTTATTTATTTATTTATTTATTTTCTATTTAGTTGAAATCAAATACTTATTAATTATTCAGGTTTTGAACAACAACAAAAGTAATTTTGTGGTGGGACACATTCTCCACTTGGATAGCCATGTTGCTTGCAGTAATCATCACAGTTTGGAAAGGCTGCACATGTTCCTGGGCATTGTGGTGGTTCTTGTCCTGCCACTCCTACATTTATCGATATATACATTCATCAATATAAATATAAAAAATAATTAATTAATTTATTAAGAAATAAAAAATTAGTTATTCTTTTTATATAATGCAACTAAACGTATGCATACTTACAAACTTGTAAATGTCGGTTCAAATCTGAGATCTTATTTAAGACAAAAAAATGGTTAAAATAGTTATTTATAAAAGAATTTTGTTTGTTTTTCTAACACTCTTTTGACTGTTTTGTATTAGAAGTTTTTTTCATCCGTATAAACTCCTTTAATATATATAATTAATAAAAATAATATAAGAAAAAAACTATAAATTTAAAAAATAGATTAAAATTTTATATTTAGTATTAGGGATAATTAATATATAAGTCCTTATAGTTTCAACTGGTTTTTAATCAGGTCCCTATAATTTTTCTTCTTTTTATCAGGTCCTTATACTTTCATGTATTTTTAATCAAGTCTTTATAATTTTTTTTCTTTTTATCAGGTCCTTATTGTTTTACTTTGTTTTTAATTAGGTCCCTGTAGTTTTTATTCTTTATTTTACAAATAATTACATTTTAAAAATAATAAATTATTGTAACAATCTTATGTTAATATTCTTTTAAATTTTTAGTTAAACAAATATATTATTTATTTTCAATTAGAATTTTTATAATTATAAAATTCAAATTATAATAATAAATTTTTCTAAAATTAAAATATGATTATAAATAATTTATATTTAAGTATAATTATTATTCTGATTATTTATTAATTACTAAATGATTATATTAATTA